AGCTGGTAAAACTATTTACGGTGCTGATGTTACACATGTTTACAAAAAGAGTTAAACGCAAGGCCTGGCACACAGTAACAAGTTAGCAGGTGCCAGGCTAACTAGCTAGCCAACTCCGGTCATGTGCTAACGTTTGCTGGTAAACCTAGCTTTAGGTGGCTGGTTGTAACGGTATAGATTGCCGTTTAGTAGCCATATCTACGACTAACAAGAGAAGAGGTTGTACAATCAAGATACAATAGATCTCTGATTGTAAAATCTATTTTTTTGTCATAGATATGGCTACCTGTAGTTGTTTTGCCAACTTAGCTAGCTAGACTAGCTAGTTAGCAAACAAAAAAACATTCAATTTCCCCCACTGTAACGCCGTAGTATGTTAGCCAGCAACACATAATATGGGTTTCAATAGATAAACTAAAGTTAGCTACTTGGCTAGCCACTGTATTTGTCATCTGCCCTCTTGGTGCTGGCATTGGCTATAGCGGAGCTTTCTTTGTTTCGAATCCTCTTAGCTATATTCCGGTTGAACGTCACCATGTCGCCCCCCACCCAAAAAAAGCTCCATTGTCGAATTCGTGTTGATGAGAGGAATCACTTGAAGCCATTGTTGTCTGGTCAGTTCTTTCAGTTTTGCCCAAAGAATTTTGTTGTTAGTGTCCGCCTCCCTTTAAAAAAAAAAAAATACCTGCCTTGGGGGAGTGACTGGGCCAGAGCACGAAGCACTGCTCCACATGACTTGTAGTCTTTCAGAGACTGGAAAAAATGTCAGCTAGTATTTTTAGCAATGAATCCACTGATAGGAACATCACTGAAAGACATCCAATAGCTCTATCAGAACAAGGACAACCATATCTACACGCACAAAAGCATACAGTTTGATCAGTATCACATAGAGCCTTCGTGAAATGCCACAAAGCAGGACTACATTTATTTTCAGATCTCGCCCCCCCCCCATCAATACACCGGAAGCCATCAGAAGGTGTATCATTCAGCACGCGAAGCCCAGACCTGCCTTCCTCCTGGGCAATTATGTGTGAAACACATCTCACTGACCTTGTGACATGATGAAAACAAGCCCAGATTCCCCCAGGGTGAAATTCCCCTTTAAAAATCCTTCTTTAACCTGTCTCCTCCCCTTCATCTCACTGACCTAGTGACATGATGAAAACAAGCCCAGATTCCCCCAGGGTGAAATTCCCCTTTAAAAATCCTTCTTTAACCTGTCTCCTCCCCTTCATCTACACTGATTTGAAGTGGAATTTAACAGGTGACATCAGAAAGGGATCATAGCTTTCACCTGGATTCATCTGGTCAGTCTTGTCATGCAAAGGGTATATGACGTCACAGGAAGGGTATAGCTGTCCTCAGATCAGAGGCAGACGTGTCACAACATATTTTAAGATGGCATAATATGGGCATGTTATGGTATGCAATGGTGATCACACTGGATTCATGATCTACCAGTGGTACACATTAAATAAATACTTTTTTTTTAAGTTTACAAGCATTTTTACTCAGAATTATTTTTGACATAGGGGTCATCAAAGTTCACTGTAATATAACTACTTTGTGTGTGTTTGTATGCTATGACTGTAAACGCATCTTGATTTCACAATTTAACATTTGCTAAACAGCACCCACAGTAGGCTACTGCAGCCTCACTCTACCCGTGATATCAAGTTATTTTTGATAAGGCACGAAAATGAAATAAAATATTTGGTATAATTTTTTTTGTGGAAGATTTAATAAGTGCGCTTCAAACGGTTTTCTTGCATTGATTTGTAGCTATGATCTCTATCTGTGCATCCGACTCAGTGATATAAGTCCCCGGCACCTCTCTGATTCAGAGGAGTTGGGTTAAATGTGGAAGACACATTTCGGTTGAATGCATTCAGTTGTGCAACTGACTAAGTATCTCCTTTCCCAACCAGAAAACATTCAATACCGTAAAGTGTTGAGTATTCACGCACCCCAATTCAGGAGGAGACAGGCGTTTTTTGTGCGGCGTTTCAAAAATGACTTTCATATCACGGCCACGGGTAGAGTGATGCTGCGTTTAGATGGTACGAAGTAGACGGCAAACCGGATGCCATTGTTTTCAATGAGAGCACGACGGTAAATGCCGTCAGCCGCCACGGTAGACGCAACTTGCCGCCAGAGTTAAAATATTTCAACTTTTGCTGTCTGCAGTAGCGTGGTTTTCTACCGGATGTTGATTTGCACGGTTTGTTTACTGAAATCACCATAACAACGCATACCTCGTGCTGGTTTGCTTTTGCCATCCTATTTTTTGCTTTCTTGTCCCCCTATAGAGTACCACAGAATGAGGACAATGGTTCCAATCGTTTTTTCCATCATACATTTTTCCCATAGGGGATTTTTAGAAACACATAAAATAAGGTTGTACGCTTACCCCGACGTGACGTTTTGATAACTGTGTAAATCTCTCTAGGACAAGGTGACTTTTTATCAATGTATTCGCCTGTATTTGAAAACACCATGATTCAGAGGGGTTGGGTTAAATGCGGAAGACAGATTTCAGTTGAATGCATTCAGTTGCGCAACTGACGAGCTATTTCCTTTCCCCAACCTGAAAACATTCAATACCGTAAAGTGTTGAGTATTCACGCACCACAATTCAGGAGGACACTGAAGTGCGGATGGCGTGACTGCGTTTTGCAAGTGTCAGCTCACTTGACCGCAGTACTCCTTAAGGTCCAAGGCTTATACAGGCATGCCGTGGGAAGTAGGCGTGCTGAGGGTGCTGAAACGCCCCCTGAAAAATCTAAATAAAAAAATTATCTTAATAAAAAAACAAATTATTGTTTTTCTCACAAAAGTAGTGCACTGGGCCTTTACTAGTCCTGTATTAGCGACAGGTATAGCCTTCTGTATCGCAGGCAATACAACTATTCCAGCATCGCTGCCCATATCAAAATTATTTCACAAATGCAAAATATACACTTCCTGTACAGTTTTAACTGGCTTTATCAGTTGCAGCTGACAGTATTTTTCAGTTACAACACGTTTCTGGCGACCTTCATCCGTTACAAACAGGTGATCGGAGCATGCTAGATAGCTAATTATCACAGGTGGTCCATCTGTCTTCCATAAACATGCGCTGTTTTTTTATTTTTTATTTTTATTTCACCTTTATTTAACCAGGTAAGCCAGTTGAGAACAAGTTCTCATTTACAACTGCGACCTGGCCAAGATAAAGCAAAGCAGTGCGATAAAAACAACAACACAGAGTTACATATGGGATAAAACAAAACATAAAGTCAAAAATACAACAGAAAATGTATATACAGTGTGTGCAAATGTAGCAAGTTATGGAGGTAAGGCAATAAATAGGCTATAGTGCAAAATAATTACAATTAGTATTAACACTGGAATGATAGATGGGCAAGAAATGATGTGCAAATAGAGATACTGGGGTGCAAATGAGCAAAATAAATAACAATATAGGGATGAGGTAGTTGGGCGGGCTAATTTCAGATGGGCTGTGTACAGGTGCAGTGATCGGTAAGGTGCTCTGACAACTGATGCTTAAAGTTAGTGAGGGAGATAAGTGTCTCCAGCTTCAGAGATTTTTGCAATTTGTTCCAGTCATTGGCAGCAGAGAACTGGAAGGAATGGTGGCCAAAGGAGGTGTTGGCTTTGGGGATGACCAGTGAGGTATACCTGCTGGAGCGCATACTACGGGTGGGTGTTGCCAATGAGCTAAGATAAGGCGGGGATTTGCCTAGAAGTGATTTATAGATGACCTGGAGCCAGTGGGTTTGGCAACGAATATGTAGTGAGGACCAGCCAACAAGAGCGTACAGGTCACAGTGGTGGGTAGTATATGGAGCTTTGGAGACAAAACGGATGGCACTGTGATAGACTACATCCAATTTGCTGAGTAGAGTGTTGGAGGCTATTTTGTAAATGACATCGCCGAAGTCAAGGATCGGTAGGATAGTCAGTTTTACGAGGGCATGTTTGGCAGCATGAGTGAAGGAGGCTTTGTTGCGAAATAGGAAACCGATTCTAGATTTAACTTTGGATTGGAGATTCTTAATGTGAGTCTGGAAGGAGAGTTTACAGTCTAACCAGACACCTAGGTATTTGTAGTTGTCCACATACTCTAGGTCAGACCCGTCGAGAGTAGTGATTCTAGTCGGGTGGGCGGGTGCCAGCAGCGTTCGATTGAAGAGCATGCATTTAGTTTTACTAGTGTTTAAGAGCAGTTGGAGGCTACTGAAGGAGTGTTGTATGGCATTGAAGCTTGTTTGGAGGTTTGTTAATACAGTGTCCAAATGGAGATATGGCCATGTGGGATCCCTGACCCTATAACGGTGTATCAATGTAACCTTTTTTAAATTATTATTATTTCTCCCTGATATGAAAGATAAGATCCTTATGCTTCCAAAACCGTACCGCAAGCGATGGGTGTTAATGTTCAGACCGAGTGTCGGAGCTCTTAAACTCCCTCCTACAGAAGATGCCTTTGTCCAATGACTCTTCTGTGTAATGTAATGGAACTGAGAGTCATGATCAAGGGCTAGTCAGTAAGCTTAAGCTAACCCAATAATAGCTCTACATTGCTGACGTTAGCTATCGTTGCCATCGCCATAGCTAAGTGAGCTAGCTAGTTACATTTATTAGCAGAGATTCCTTGTGCATGGAATATTTTGCACGTTATATCCCTTTATTATTTTGTAAAACTCAACTTTCACTTGTTGTGCTTCCTCTTTTTGATCCATCTCTAGCCTTCCATGTCTGATCCCAAGTCCACAGAGTCCCTGGGTTCAGGCTGTGGTGTTCCAGCCCAGAGAAGCTTACAGTGGGGTCCAGAGATGGTGTCAGTGCAGCTGGAAGACTGCAGTCAAACACTGGAACTCAATGTGATTGTCAAAGAGGATTGGGAGGAGAGAGGAATCGAGAAGAGAGCAGTCAAACAGAAGGTGGAGGAGAGAGCAGTCAAAGAGGAGGTGGGAGAGAGAGCATTCAAAGAGGAGGTGGAGGAGGGGGCAGTCAAGGAGGAGGTGGAGGAGGGGGCAGTCAAGGAGGAGGTGGAGGAGAGAGCTGTCAAGGAGGAGGTGGAGGAGAGAGCTGTCAAGGAGGAGGTGGAGGAGAGAGCTGTCAAGGAGGAGGTGGAGGAGAGAGCTGTCGAGGAGGTGGAGGAGAGAGCTGTCAAAGAGGAGGTGGAAAAGGAAGCAGTCAAAGGGGAGGTGGAGGAGGGAGCAGTGAAGGAGGAGGCGGAGGCGGAGGAGAGAGCAGTCAAAGAGGAGGTGGAGGAGAGAGCAGTCAAAGAGGAGGTGGAGGAGAGAGGAATCACAGAGGAGGTGGAGGAGAGAGGAGTGAGAGAAGAGCAGGAGGAAGAGATCAAAGAAGAGAAGGAAGAAGTAGATAGTATCACTGACCCAGGTAAGTTCATGTGTGGAGTACGGAGAGAGGTTGGTGCCATGGCGACCACAGGGGATTCCAAAACAATTAAAGTGCTTCAGCTTGAATCAACAAGTCTTTTAAAGCCCCTTTCAATGTTCCCTTTCTGATTCTATCCCTATTTCTGTTCATATTCCCACAGGAGAGAACTCCAACCCAGGTTCAGACAGTGAGCCCAGTTCCACAGCATCAGGAAACCATAAACAACCCAGACAGAGGAACTCAAGACAGAAACATCACTGCATGGACTGCTCCACTAGTTTCTATGAGCCAGAGGAGTTGAGAAGGCACACTTGTGGGCCCCACCCCTGCTCTAATTGCAGAGGCAGTTTTATTTGTCCAATTCACTTCAAATCACACCAGCAGACTCTCAAAAGAAAGAAAACGTACCCGTGTGGTCATTGTGAGAAGAGTTTTCAGACCCCAAGCAGTTTGAAGAAGCACCAGCTTACTCACACAGGAAAGAAGTTGTACCACTGCTTTCAGTGTAGGAAGAGGTTCAGTCGGGTAGACACCTTAAAGGCTCACCAGAGAATACACACAGGGGAGAAGCCCTTCCACTGCTCCCAGTGTGGGAAGACTTTTGGTTGGTCAATAAATTTGAAGCGACACCAGAGAATACACACAGAGGAGAAGCCTTTCCACTGCTCCCAATGTGGGAAGAGTTTCAGTGCTATAGGAAGTCGAAATAAACATCAGAGAATACACACAGGAGAGAAGCCTTACCACTGCTCTGAGTGCGGGAAGAGTTTCAGTCTGTCATCATATCTGAAGAGGCACCAAATAACTCACACAGAAGAGAAACTATTCAGCTGTGATCATTGTGGGAAGAGTTTTAAATTGGAAGGAAGCCTTAAGAGTCATCAGAGAATACACAGTGGAGAGAAGCCCCACCACTGCTCCCAATGTGGGAAGAGCTTCATTCAGGCAGGAGACCTAAAGAGGCATCAGAGAATACACAGTGGAGAGAAGCCATACCACTGCTCCCAATGTGGGAAAAGCTTCAGTCGGGTAAATGTCCTAAAGCAACATCAGAGAAGACACATAGGGGAGAAGCCTTTCCACTGCTCCCAATGTGGGATGACCTTCAGTGAGAAAGGAAATCTAAAGCAACACCAGAGAATACACACGGGAGCGAAGCCGTACAGCTGTGATCAGTGTGGGAATTCTTTTAAATGGAAAGAAATCCTGAAAGAACATCAGAAAGCAATGCACAGTGCAGTGCCCAACACTGACCTTATAATGGTGTTGCCAAGCTGGGCAACTACATATCTAACTAATATTGACTGACTGTTTTTGTCATTATTTTGTTATAGGTTTTAAAAAATATATATATTTGACCTATAACGCTTTGTTCAGACGGCCTAAAACAGACGAGGGAGGCAGGAAATTGGGAGGGTGGACACAGGAATTGAACCCCGGTCTCCAGTGGGGAGTAGAGTACATTTAACTGGGAGTGTTAACGCTAGACCCCAGGCTCTGCAGATTATTCTGTGAAACTTGAAGTTCATTTTTTATATTCTCATATGAAAATGTACTAAAGAGTATGAATTATGACATGCGCATCATATTTGAATTAAAGTGTCTTTTCCTCCAGAAATGCATTCAGTTTCTATTTGCATAAATTAATACTTTCTAAACCAAACTTCTATCTCAAGTCAACCACTCTCCTCTTGGGAACGTTTTATTTGCTTATTGATGTTATTTCACCAGTGTTGGGGGAAAGACGTTAGTAACACAGGGTGTTACAGAAATATAATTACATTAGTCCATAACGAGGTCTTTTGTAATGAGTTACACTTTGTATTATATGTAGATGTAGTCAAGTCAGTCACCAGTGGTCGAGTCACGAGTCATGAAAATCGTGACTCAGAGTCAAGTCCGAGTACTGGACTCCAATACTACAACACTGTCAGCCACTCTCCTCTTGGGGTTTAACACGTTAGTAACATAACATTTTACTATTACTTTTGTCAGTAATAAGGTACTATAATGAGTTAGAATTTGTATTGGAGTAATAATATTACAGTAATTAGTAGTGAGTAGTTAGTAATGCGTTCTTTTCAGAGTACATTTACTGTGCCATGTGGTGTATCCATGATCTGAAGGGAGTTTACCTGCCAGGAGAGGCAGAAACCTTGGTTTACAGGTAAATACTTTAGAAACCTTACTCACCAGAGCTCTCACATTATATAAATTCAGGGCAATCACACATATACATTATATCGCCTATAAACGTCAACCTGCCTTGAAATTCAATACGTGATCTTTACTGTATATACACACACACACACTCGTGAATATAATATAATATGACTGTACAGTCGTGGTCAAAAGTTTTGAGAATGACATAGATACTAATTTTCACAGTCTGCTGCCTCAGTTTTGATGATTGCAATTTGCATATACTCCAGAATGTCATGAAGAGTGATCAGATGAATTGCAATTAATTGCAAAGTCCCTCTTTGCCATGAAAATGAACTTAATCCCCAAAATATATTTCCACTGCATTTCAACCCTGCCACAAAAGGACCAGCTGCCATCAAGTCAGTGATTCTCTCGTTAACACAGGTGAGAGTGTTGACGAGGACAAGGCTGGAGATCACTCTGTCATGCTGATTGAGTTAGAATAACAGACTGGAAGCTTTAAAAGGAGGGTGGTGCTTGAAATCATTGTTCTTCCTCTGTTAACCATGGTTATCTGCAAGGAAACACGTGCCGTCATCATTGCTTTGCACAAAAAGGGCTTCACAGGCAAGGATAATGCTGCTAGTAAGATTGCACCTAAATCAACCATTTATCAGGTCATCAAGAACTTCAAGGAGAGAGTGGTTCAATTGTTGTGAAGAAGGCGTCAGGGCGCCCAAGAAAGTCCATCAAGCACCAGGACCATCTCCTAAAGTTGATTCAGCTGCAGGATCGGGGCACCACCAGTGCAGAGCTTGCTCAGGAATGGCAGCAGGCAGGTGTGAGGGCATCTGCACGCACAGTAAGGCGAAGATTTTTGAAGGATGGCCTGGTGTCAAGAAGGGCAGCAAAGAAGCCACTTCTCTCCAGGAAAAACATCAGGGACAGACTGATATTCTGCAAAAGGTACAGGGATTGGACTGCTGAGGACTGGGGTAAAGTCATTTTCTCTAATGAATCCCCTTTCCGATTGTTTGGGGCATCCAGAAAACACCTTGTCCGGACAAGACAAGGTGAGCGCTACCATCAGTCCTGTGTCATGCCAACAGTAAAGCATCCTGAGACCATTCATGTGTGGGGTTGCTTCTCAGCCAAGGGAGTGGGCTCACTCACAATTTTGCCTAAGAACACAGCCATGAATAAAGAACGGTACCAACACATCCTCCGAGAGCAACTTCTCCCAACCATCCAAGAACAGTTTGGTGAGGACCAATGCCTTTTCCAGCATGATGGAGTACCTTGCCATAAGGCAAAAGTGATAACTAAGTGGCTCGGGAACAAAACATCGACATTTTGGGTCCATGGCCAGGAAACTCCCAGACCTTAATCCAATTGAGAACTTGTGGTCGATCCTCAAGAGGCGGGTGGACAAAAAAAAACCACAAATTCTGACAAACTCCAAGCATTGATTATGCAAGAATGGGCTGCTATCAGTCAGGATGTGGCCCAGAAGTTAATTGACAGCATGCCAGGGCGGATGGCAGAGGTCTTGAAAAAGAAGGGTCAACACTGCAAATATTGACTCTTTGCATAAACTTAATGTAATTGTCAATAAAAGCCTTTGACACTTATGGAATGCTTGTAATTATACTTAAGTATACCATAGTAACATCTGACAAAAATATCTCATAACACTGAAGCAGCGAACTTTGTGAAGACCAATACAAAGTGGGTCAACTTTTGACCACGACTGTACTATTGAGTGTTGTAGTAGTTCCCTCTCTCTCCAGATGGGGGAGCTGTGGACTGACCTGGTACCCAGTGTGACCAGTCTCCTGGGGGGGTTCTCCTGTAGTACCCTCTCCCCTCCTTCCACCCCAAGACCCCCACCCAGCCCCCACGTTCTCTCCAGCCCCAGACCTCTGTCTCCTCCCACAGTACCCTTCTCTCCCAGACCTCCCTCCACCCCCAGCCATGGAGCTCCCAGGACCGCAGGGGCTTCCCGTGACCAACACACACACACACACACACACACACACACACACACACACACACACACACACACACTCACCCATAACTGACAGTTGGAGTACAGCTTTGGTCCGGTCCAGAAACTAACTGAAACTAGACCCAATTCTGCTTTTGGTGATTGTAGATCTGAAGAAACTGATGAACATCTTGTATTTTTCTTAACAAACAAACTCATTTATTTATTTTAGCTAAACTTCCAAACCCTTCAAATTGGTCAGGTTTGTCTTTAATAGGTTTAAATATCATATGCAGCTTTGTGTAATTTTTTCTCTGTCATTGTTTGTGTTTATTTGTGATTCAGTGTCAGCATTCTAAAACACTTGTTTGTTCATCCAACAAACTACCATGATGTAAAACTGAATAAAAAGCTGTATTACATTACCTTAATGTTTTCATGCTTTGTAGTGCTAAGTTTGGGCATTATTCAGGATACATGTTTGTATTATCACCATGAGATGAAGAGAGCATTCGCTAAAGCTGGGGTAACATCTCATGGGAAGGATGAGATGTGATGTGTTACATCATGATGGCTCATCTCAGTGACACTGCAATGGGGAAAGTATTGGGCAGGAAGGGAAACTGCCTGGAAGTTGGAAGCAGGCGGTAGTGGTGTCGATAAGGAAAACAGGGAAAGACCCTACTAGTCCTTCACGCTATAGGCCGATAGCGTTGACATCTCACGTATGGAAACTAATGGAAAGTTTGATATGTCACCATATCAAACTGGGTTCAGGAAAGGCTGACATACTTTCTGGAGAGTAGAGGACTAATGTCACCATATCAAACTGGGTTCAGGAAAGGCTGACGTACTTTCTGGAGAGAAGAGGACTAATGTCACCATATCAAACTGGGTTCTTGAAGTTGTATAATAATATACTTGAAGTTGTATGGAAGGAATCAGGAGAGGGTGGGAGGGTTTAGGTTCCTGGAGGTCTGGTTTGACGATCGAATGACATGGGGGCAGAGCATATTAACAGAGTAGTTGTCAAAGGTTAGAAAATATTAAATGTGATGCGTTGCTTATCAAGAATGGAGTGGGGGGGGCAGATAGAATGGCGTTGAAAATTATATATATATATATATATATATATATATATATATATATATATATATATCGCTGTTAAGGTCATCAATGGATTATGGAAGTATAGGATATAGATCACATTCAATATCTCCACAATGAGATAGGGTGCAGGCCAAGCAGCAGGCTGTTAGCCAGCCCGCCAGCTTAGTGGAGTCTTAGTAGCACAGTCAGTGTAGTCAGCTCAGCTATCCCCATTGAGACCGTGTCTGTGCCTAGATCTAGGTTGGGCAAAACTAAACATGGTGGTGTTCACCTTAGCAATCTCACTGGAATAAAGACCTCCTCCATTCCTCTCATTATTTGTAAGAGATTGTGATATCTCACATCTCAAAATATGGCTACTTAATGTGATGTGATTGGCCTGACTGAAACATGGCGTAAGCCTGATGAATTTACTGTGTTAAATGAGGTCTCTCCTCCTGGTTACACTAGTGACCATTTCCCCCGCGCATCCCGCAAAGGCGGAGGTGTTGCTAACATTTACGATAGCAAATGTCAATTTACCCCCCCAAAAATGACTGCGTTTTCATCTTTGATAATATTCTAATTATTGGTGACTTTAATATTCACATGGAAAAGTCCACAGACCCACTCCAAAAAGGCTTTCGGAGCC